TGCGCAGCAAGACCTTCCAGGACATGGGATTCACGGTGTACGGCGGCGAGAACGCGCCCTACGTCTGGGTGGGCTTCCCGGGTGAGTTGAAGGCGGGGGGGGGGCGGCCAGGGGGCCAGGGGGGCGGGCGGGGGCGCTGCTCGCATGCACCAGGGGCTGTGCAAATGGGAGCAGAGCAAGCTGCGTGCAGCACATCCCGCGGCTGTTTGGGGGCAGGAGGCACGCATGGCATGGCATGGCATTCACGCTGCCGTGCTGCGCGGTGACGCCGCCACGGCGCAGGCCAGAAGTCGTGGGACGTGTTTGCGGAGATCCTGGAGAAGTGCGACATCGTGACCACGCCCGGCAGCGGCTTTGGCCCCGCAGGCAAGGCAGTGCGGCGCCGCAGGGCCGGTGGCGTGCGCTGGGAGCGCAGGGCAGCCGGCGGCGGCTGTGGCGGGCCTTGTTGTGCGCCTGAGCTGGTGTGTGACTCTGCTGGCCGCGCCTCCTCCCCGCGCCGCCTGGCCTGCAGGCGAGGGCTTTGTGCGCGCCAGCGCCTTTGGCCACCGCGATTCGGTGCTCGAGGCGGTGGAGCGCTTCAAGAAGGTCTACAGCAAGGCGCAGTGAAGCCCTTGACCTGGGAAGCCCCTTTTTGTGGGGATCACTCGGTTGTCTGCTCTGCTGGCCCATTTCATTGCACACCTCCTGAAACTTGGCGGCCACGCCGCGTTGCATTGACCTGCCACAGCGCGCAGCACGGGCGGGGGTAGATCTGGCCATTGCGAGTCTCTCTCCTGGCTTTGTTTCGTTCACCGCACACACTCTTACTGTAAGCGTGTGATTTGCGCACTCCCACAGACCCTCAGCGCCGTCCCCCGCTGGGGGGCGCTGCGGCTGTCGGTGCTCACTGCTCTTCAATCTGGTTCTTGTGCCGCTATGGGGCGCGCTAAACGCTTGGAGCTGGCAGGCAGCCCGGCTCCTGCTCCTGCCGCTGAGGCGGTCTCGACCTCCGACGTTCCCGTTTGCGGGCTGTGCGGTGACCAGATTAATGCTAAGAATGAGGAGCATATCAACGGTGAGAGTCGCGGGGCGGGATCAGCTTGGTTGCCGCCGCTCGCAAACCCACCGCCCGGCCACCGCTTGATTTTTGAGCTTTCCAGCACAGTTGAATCACGAGCATCAAAAAAAGAAACACACCTTGATCCTGACCCGCAGTTCGTTGCAATGTCTGTGGCACCGCAAGCTATCATCGGTGAGCAGCATGTGCCTGCCGTCTCGCCTTCGCCTCTGCTGCTCTCCCGCCTCGACAACCGAACCCCCACCCCCACCCCCACCCCGCACCTATTTTGATGCAGAGAGTGTGCCTGCATTTTTTTGGAAGCTCACGCAAAGGAAAAAACTAACAGCCACGCTGCACATAGGTGTATTGTGAGTTGGCAGCAAGCTGGCAGCAGCAGCCGACACTTGCAAGCCCCCACGCCACCCCCCCTGAGCCGCTGCCGCGCGTACCTGCCGCAGGTCAAGGCCCGGAAGCGGCCTGTCGAGTTTTTCGAACAGCGCATGCCGTGCCCCAACGGCAACGCCCAGCTGGATCACGACAAGGACTGCCAGCCGGGCAGCCGGGGCTACCGTGGCAAGCTGACCCGAGTCGCCTGCTCCGGCTTCACTCAGGGTGCGTTGAGCCGGCTGGGGGGCAGCCCACCAGCCTGTCTCGCAAGTGCCACAGCCAGCTCTGCCGCTCATACCCGTGCCATCCACACACCCCATCTCTTCACTGCTCCAACTCTTCTGGTACCCTTCTGCAGGCGCCGAACTTATCAAGCCTGCCAAGGACCCCCCAGCCCCCTTGCCCACCACCCAGCCCGCCCGCGCGCCCAAGAAGCTGCCCGCCGCGGCGCCGCCGGCGGCCAAGCCGCCGGCAGCCAAGAAGGCCGCCACCCCCGCCCCCTCCGCCACCTTGCCATCCCGGGGCCCCAGCATCGTGCCGGCACCCGGGTCGGGAGCCGCCATGCGGCTGCTGGGCGCCCGCCAGCCCTCCTGGACCGCCGTGGGCGGCGCCAAAAAGGCGGCCGGCGCGGGGCCCGGCGGCGCCAAAAGCGCAGGCCCGTTCCCGCCCGGCACGCGCCGCCCGCCCCACTTGCTGCTCTGCCCTCACTTCCTTGAGTCGGGTGACTGCCACATATACCGATGCGAGAACTGCCACAGCGAGGTGCGGTGGGCTGTTAGGGGGCGGGGCGCCGGCTGGCCGCGCTTTGCCACTAGGAACCGCCGCCTCTGCGCCACCACCCAGCTGCCCTGTCCCTCCTCCCCACCAGCACGCCTCACCCCGCTCTGCCGCTTCGCCGCGCCGCAGGAGGAGCAGCGGCAGCGGGAGCAGGAGTGGGCGGCGCGGCAGGAGGGGGAGAGGCGGGAGGCGCGGCGCCGCGAGCTGGAGGCTGCCGAGGCGGCGCAGGCTCGGCGGGAGGAGGAGGCAGAGGTTCTTGCCCAGCTGGTGGGTGGCGCCGCTCCCATGCGCCCCTGCTGTGCGCTCTCATGCGCCCCGCTGTGCTCCTGCGAGAGCCCCGCGCGCCGCAGGCCTGCTGCCGTTGCCCGCCGTGGCCCCACCCCGTGCTGCCGCCCTGCGCCCCTGCAGGAAAGCTTGGAGATGCACCAACGGCAGCACCTGGCCCCTGCCCCTGCCCCTGCGCCCCGCGCCCCATGGGCCGCCGCCGCCGCCCCGGCCGCCCAGCGCCCGCCCCTCCAGCTGTCCCCGCGCGCGCTGGGCCTGCTGCGCGCCTTCAAGCGCTCCCACTGCCTCAACAGCCTGCTGGAGATGGGGTTTGCCACGGAGCGGGCGCAGGCCGCCACCGACGCGGCCGGCGGCGACGCGGCAGCTGCCGTGCAGCTGCTGATGGATGGCGCGCGCTGTGGCGGCGCCCGGGAGGTGGATGTGGCCAGGTGGGGTGGGAGCGTGTATGTGGGGGGTGGGGGGTGGGGGTGAGTGCAGGGGTGGCAGGCGGCAGCGGCAGCGTGTGGCAGAGCGTGTGTGTGTGTGAGGGTGGAGGTGGTGGGTTGGTGGGTGGTAGCGGACTCTCTTGAACTGAAGCCAACCAGCCCACAGCAGGAGTCTGGGCCTCGCCTCATACCCGCCCGCCTCGCCTCCCCCTGCTCCCCCACGCTGCAGGGAGGTGCGGGACCAGGGCATCGCCGCGCTGGCGGCAGGCGCCAGCGCCGAGGCGGTGGAGGCGCAGCTGGCGGCGGTGAGCGGCAACTGGGAGGTGGCCGTCGAGGCGCTGCAGCTGGGCGGTACCATGCTGGACGGTACCACGCTGGACGGTACCATGGTGGCGCACGAGGTGCGGGCCGGGCCGCTGCCCGGCAGCTGCCGCGGCCCTCGCCGCCGCTCGCGTGCCTGGCGGCTGGCGCAGGCCCGCCGCTGCTCTGCCGCTGCTCTGCCTGCGCTCCCAGGCGCCGGCGCCTGCCTGGCCGGCTGCCTGTTCTCACCTCTCCCTGCCCGCTGGCTGCGTGCTGGTGCAGGAGTGGCAGAGCCTGGCGCCGTCTGAGCCAGACACGCCCAGCCTGGGTGCGGCCTCGCTGCCGCCCTGGGCCGCAGACACCGCCTCTCTCCTCTCGGCGCCCAGCCCCTCGCCGCAGTCCCCCCGCGCCGCCACCACCCCCACCGCCGGCTCCTGCACCGTGCCAGATGCGGCGCCGGGGGTGCTGTCGCTCGCCGACTTCAGCAGCGCACCGCTGGCGCTGCCCGTCGCCCTGCCGCCGAGCAGCGCCTCGGGCGGCGGCGACGGCTACAGCGACGGCTTCGCCGCGGGGCTGGCGGCGGCGCAGGCGCTGCTGGCGGCAGCGGGGGAGCGGCAGCAGTACGGCGGCGGTACCGCCGCCGCCTGGCTGCCGCAGCCGGCTGACGGAGAGGAGCAGCAGCCGGAGAATGAGGAGGAGATTGAGGGCCTCATGCACATGCTGGGCATCGCCTGATGATCAAGGCGACGCACCTTCTTGCTGTGCATGCGTGCCGGGGGCGCCGTGCCGCCGCCGGGGTTGAGCGCCGGGCTGCAACAAGCCCGGTAGCGTCAACCCCAGGCGTGGGCCCCCCGCACAATTACGGCCCTTTGCATCCTACCGCCTCGCCCCTCTGGTCCGTTAATGGGCCTGTGCCCCGTCTTTCCCTCTCCTGCCTGCCATGTCTGCGATGGGCTACCTCCAGCGTGGGACGTTCTGTAACAGACAGGTGTACTGCCATTCATGCGGCAGCGATCAGTTGTCAGCAAGCAGGCGCACGAGCAGGGAAACGGGCCACGGGGCGGGCACAGCGCAGGTGTCTTTCTTCTTGATTGATGGGACATGCGGTGGGAAGTGGGCTGCCACACAGTAAGGCAGCATATGGGGTCCGGCTGGGCCAGCCTGGGCGGGCCGGGCTGCCCGCCTCACACACAGGAAGGAACAGGTTCGACGCAGGAAGGTAGGTCCGAAGGCACGCAAGTGCTTGTCTACAAAAGAATCATGTACGGCGGCGGCGCGCGGGCGCCAGCCCGCTGGGCCGCCTGGCTGGCGCTGCGCCACGTCAGCCGCGCTATGCCAGCATGTCGGCGACGGGGTCGCTCTCCGGCTCGGGCGCCGCCTGCGGGTGCGCCTGCGACACGATGGGCAGCACCAGCCCCTCCGCCGGCTGCCCCAGCTGCTGCGGCTGGCCCAGCACCGGCGCGTGCATCAGCGGGTGCTGGTGCGCCGCCTGGCGCGCCGGGTGCGCCGCGGCGTGCTGCGGG